AATACCACATGATCTCTGTTCTTCAATTCGAATGCAACATTTGAAGTCTGTGTCAAATCAAATTTAATAATATTTATTTTTCTAGTGGACATTGTTATACTTCAGGTGTCTTCTGTTGAACACAAAACACCCTGAAGAAAGATAAAAACCTGAAACTATTGACTTTCACAGTAAGAAAAACAAATACTATGGAAGTCAATGGTTAGAAAATGTACAACTTTCTTCACAGTATCTCCTTTTCTGTTTAACACAAGAAAGAAACTCAAACCGGTTTTGAACAAATGCAGGGAAAGCACAGTAAATGATGACAGAGCTTTCATTTTTGGGTGAACTATCCCTTTAATATAAAGAGTGCCTCTATATTGCACTAGTAACTATATAGCGTATCTGTAAATAATGGTAAAATTTGTAAACGATGGTCAAAATCCTTCCACCGATCCTTGGATTTCATTTTCAAAGCTTTTTTTTTAAATGGATACAGTCCACAATTACCTGAACTGAATATTTTTTTTTCCATTAATAATCCCTTTTACACAGTAATACTGATAAATTACTGTAAATCCCACAATTAATTTACCAGGTATTTTAACACAAAACAGAATTCCAGAAATTATCCGGTAATATTATAACTTCTTATTTGGAAAAATTGCTGGAATTAATTTTTACTTTTAAAAAGGCCCTGTTCACATGATCTTATCACTGCAATTTACTGGCATTTCTATGGGGTAGGGTTGTATGTGTGAAAGGGACTAATATTAAATTATAAGTAAAGGTATAATCAAATTATATACCGTATATAAACCATGTATATTGAAAATTTCTGCATAATTCTTTTGTCTTCTCAGTCAGTGTTCAATTTTAGATGTCACTTTACAGTGTACCTAATAAAGTGGCCAGCGAGTGTATGTTGGGTCTTCTGCACTCATCAGATTGGTTCAAGAGTTTCTAAACCTTCTAAGCGCTGTAGAGGAGTAGTTTTGGGGGGGTTTATTTATGCCCTCCGAGTGCAGCGCAATAATTCTCCTATACTAGTAGAGAAAGACACCCAAGGCGCTCAGTGATTTTTACCTAATAAAAACAGAAAGACCTAATAAATGATGTCTTTGAAGTGGGAGTGCAGAGCAGAGTGTTGAATGAGGTCAACGGCAGGCTGTAATCTATATCAACTCCACATCCCAGCCAGCACGGACTGTCATGCACACTAACCCCCAAAAGAGAAACCAATTCCTGCAGAGAAGGATTCGCTTGACTTTTTTCCGGGCCACATTTCCATGACCGCCTCGCGTTCTGGTGCGATTTTCAGGGACATTTTTATCCCAGCGAGGGTACTGGGGGTGAAGCTTTATTGGCCGTGATCTGAATGATGCAAGTGGCAGAAACTTTAAGCAAAACTGAGTTTATAGCAGCCCAAAATGACATACTCAAAACAGACATTATTCCTCTGAAGTCTTTTATATGAAGCGTGTGAACATCACAGAGTTACGCGCCTGTCAAAGCTTTGACGTGTTGTTATTGCTTGCGTCCAGCAGTGATAATGATCTGTGTTTTCTTCCCTTTTTCCCCCTGTAGGATCTGCTAGTCGTCGTTGTTTGCTGGACGTTAATGGAGTTGCTTACTGGGGTCCTCCGAGCTTCGCCCGATGTGTCTCACTCGAATATAGATATTTACATTTATCTGTGAGTACATGGATGTGGAGGACGTGCTGTGCTGTCTGGGAGTGGGGTAATGGATGTTTTGTATGCTGTTTTGATGGAAAATCTGGTCTGGGACTGTCAGTAGTCTTGGTTTCAGAGAATATGCTGAGTTTAATTTATTGAGGTCATTCAATTCTTATTTTAAATAAATGTAAATATTAATACTGTACCATTTTACCAATTTATTCCATTACCACTACTATTGCTACTATTAATAAATGAAGTAATAATAATAATAATAATAATAATAATAATAATAATAATAATATTTAGTAATATTTATTTATTTATTTATTTATTATGTCATGTATAATAATAATAATAATAATAATAATAATAATAACAATTATTATTATTATTATTATTTTATTTTTTATTAAATATAATAATATATAATATAATGATAATAATAACAACAAAAATAATAATAATAATAATAATTATTATTATTATTATTATTATTATTATTATTATTATTATTGTTATTATTATTATTAATGTTTGTAATAGTTTAACATTGTTTTTATTATTTTTGTTGTTATTTTTTATTTTTTATTCAATGCCTTTAAATATGTTGAATATTGTTAATGATGATGGCTATTATTATTCATTAATATACTATATTAATTGACTTCTTCTCCTTATTATTCTTAATAAAAAATATACAAATAGCAACATAAAAAGTGTAATGATAAAATAAGAGGAAGAAGAAGAAGAAAAGAAAAAGAATAAAAAGAAGACAACAACATTTATAATTATTTATTATTATTATTATCATCATCATCATCATCATCATCATCATCATCATCATCATCATCATTATTATTATTATTATTATTAGTAGTAGTAGTAGTAGTAGAAGTAGTAGTAGTAGTAGTATTACTATTGATACATTCAATATTATTTATTTGTCCATTCATTTATTTATTTAAATTCCAATACACTTATATTGGTGAATGCAAGTTATGTTCTGATTTAAGAGTAAGCTAATTGCTTATTTGACATTTTTTATATTGTTTATCTATTACTATCACTTCCAGAATTTTGTAGTTTAGTACAAAGCATGAGCGAGCAACTGAATATGAAGTATAATATAATCGAATACAACAATTTTAGCAGTAATTTAATTCATATTGGTTTCCCTTGAGCAGAAAAATAAGCTATGAAAAACCAATATACAAAAGTATGCAGTGTTTAAAGGGCTGTGTGTACAAGATTGACTATTACCACTGGCATTTTCCTTAAGTGATGTATTGAATGTCTATTTATATAGTGCATTTATCGTGTATGGCCATACACCCAAAATGCTTTACAATTATAAAGGGCACTCTCTCCACACCACCACCAGTATGTAGCATCCACTTGGATGAAGCGACGGCAGCCACAGGGCAGGACTCACTCATACGAAAGACGGCGCTCACTGACAGAATAATGTCCCCTTCACTATACTGGGGCATTAGGCCTCACTGACACCTCTTTTAACAGCAACCTAGTTTTCCCATGTGGTCTTTCATCCAGGTACTGACCAGGCTCTGACCTGCTTAGCTTCAGTGAGTACCGGTCTTGGGCTCAGGGTGATTTGTCTGTGTCACAGTGGCTGTGTAAGTGATAATATCTGCAATGACTACTCAACAACAAATGTTAAAAAGAGTCAATTACAGCACCGATTCACCGATTATTAAAACACACACATGAAGAAAACCAATACCTTCTACACCACTTTTAAGTAGTCCTCTCCATAAGTGCCTAAAAGTAAAAAACGAAAAGAAAAAGTCTGTTTTTTGTCTGTTTTCAGAGCAGGATGTTTTGCTATTGATTGATTGCTTTCTAATACATTCAGCAGCCTTAAGTAAAAATAACTGCAATGACCACGCATTAACAAATGTTTAAAAAAAAGTCAATTTCAGCACTGTTTCAACTCATGAAGAATAAAACACACATGAAGAAAACCAAACTCACTTATGCCACTTTGAACTAGTCCTTACCATAAGTGCATAAAAGTAAAAAAAACAAAAAGAAAAAAAGTCTGTTGTCAGACCAGGGTATTTTGCTAATGATCGATTGCTTTCTAACACATTCAACAGCCTTACCTCAGTGTGCTCTTCTTAATTCCCCAGCCGCGACCTTTGCCTTTGAGTTCATAATGCTGAGTGGGTTTTAATTCTGTCTCTCGACCGAGGCAATACTTGATGGGGTTGATTGCGCTGTTAACCTGTCCACTAACCCCTCATTATAATCAGACAATGCTTAATTAGCTTTGATTGCCATTGTCTGCACCCGCTGTACTGTTATTAGACAGTCAACAGTTCGTCTTCTGACGTTCGACCGCAAAACAAGCACTCTGCTAGTTAATTCAGTAAGGGAGAAGTTGTTTTCACTTTGTTATGCTCCCAGCTTGGTAGACTGTAGATGGGAAGTAGATTAAGGCGGTTGTCGATATCTTCAAACTGCTTTCGCTTTGCTCCAGACCCAGATCAATGATGTTTCTGCTTCAAAGCCTAGAATGTACTTCTGCACTTCCTTTTCTGGCTTACCTTTAAATCTGCCTTTGCTTTTCAGTGCTTATCCATTCTCTTTGTACGTTCGTTTAATTATTAAGTTTATGAAATGAAAGCATGTTAGTTTGTTTGGGATCTAAGCACATGCGAGTTACTAGAGGTCTGCTTTTCTGCAAATTCTTCACGGTTTTCATTTATGATATGTTTTAGCTTATTAATTATTCCTTCTGCTACCATAGCTGAAAATTTAAATGAAAACAATTCATCACAATTTCCCTTAAAATCAGGGAAGAAAATTAGTATAGAGTTCCAGATGGGTTTTATGAAGTCTTCCTTCAGCTGCTAATAACAGTTTTCTTAATTAAAATGAACATACTTGGACAAATTTCTTTTAAAATCAGGAGAGGAGATGCATAAAGTAATGCAAAAAGTTAAGTGCAAATGCATAAAGACTGCAAAAAGTAATGTTCTTTAAATAATTTTGCCTTATTTTATCTTATACTAAATGTTAACAATACTAATACTGCTAAATATATATTTTTTAAGAAAAATGTACAGAAATGAATTATGTTTACGTTATATGAGATATATTTATCATGTTATGACATCTTAGAGATTTCGGTCCCTCAATTAAAAGTCTATTCAGCCAAATATCACTTTAATAAAGTCTTTATATGATGAACAGATTTAATTTTAAAACATCAGTGGTTATTGTAGAAACTCAAACCTCATTGGTCGCTGTAGAATCTTAAACCTCATTGGTTGCCATAAAATTTCACACCTCATTGGTTGTTATAGAAACTCAAACCTTATTGGTCGCTGTAAAATCTCAAACCTTGTTGTTTATTGTAGAAACTCAAAGCTCATTGGTTGTTGTAGAATTTCAAGCCTTATTGGCTTTAGAATTTTAAACTTCATTGGTTGTTGTAGAATCTCAAACCTCATTGGTTATTGTAAAAACTCAAACCTCAGTGGTTGTTGTAGAATTTCTAACCTCATTGGTTATTATAGAAACTCAAACCTCATTGGTTATTGTACAAACTCAAACCTCATTGGTTGTTGTAAAATTTCAAATCTCAGTGGTTATTGTAGAAACTCAAATCTCATTGCTTGTTGTAGATTTTTTAACCTCATTGGTTATTATAGAAACTCAAACCTCAGTGGTTATTGTAGAAACTCAAATCTCATTGGTTGTTGTAGAAACTCAAACCTCATTGGATATTATAGAAACTCAAATCTCATTGGTTATTATAGAAACTCAAACTTTAGTGGTTGTTGTAGAATTTCAAACCTCATTGGTCATTGTAGACTCTAAAACCAAACTGGTTAGCATGGAAACTCAAACCTCTTTGGTTGTGCAATCATTTTCTATTGTGGAATCTTAAACCTCATTAGTTATTGTAGAAACCCAAATCTCATTGGTTATTGTAGAATCTCAAACCTAATTGGTTGTCAAAGAAACTCAAACCTCGTTGGTTGTCATAGAATCTCAAATCTTATTGGTTATCGTAGAAACCTGAATCTTATTGTTTAATGTAAAGTCTCAAACCTCACTGGTTACTGTAAAAACTCAAACCTCGTTGGTTGTCTTTGAAACTCAAACCTCATTGGTTATCTTAAAAACTCAAACCTCACTGGTTGCCATTTAAACTCAAACCTCATTGGCTATTGTGGAATCATAAACTTCATTGGTTATCATAGAAACCATAAATACATTGGTTATTATACACAAGCAAAACTCATTGGTTACTGTAGAAACCCAAACCTCATTGGTTTTTGTAGAAACCCTGATCTCATTGGTTACCATAGAAACTCAAACCTCATCGGTTATTGTAGAAACCCAAATCTCATTGGTTATCATAGAAACTCAAACCTCATTGGCTATTGTGGAATCTCAAACCTCATTGGTTACTATAGAATCTCAAACCTCATTGGTTCTTGCAGAAGGTCAGACGTGTTCAAGCAAAATGCAAGAATGACTCAATGGTTCTCGTGTGTCAAGCAAAAGCAGGCTATAACTTCATGCTCCTGGTTTTTATCTCTAGGTTTATTTACTGATGTATAAACCATTTTTTTCTTCCTCTGCAGTTGCGAGAACATCTTGCGAAGGGTCAGAGGACCCTGGCAGGGGAGGGCATGTCTCAGATCGTGAGGAGTCTCCTGGAGTTAATGTCCCGTAAGAATTATTACAGTGGAGACCTCTTATTCTCCGTGGAGATTCTCCGAAATGTGACAGACACCTTCAAGCGAGCAACCTACATCCCAGCTCCTGACGACGTGCAGGTGGGTGTTCGTCTGTGGGGGTGTGGAAAGAAAGTAGTTATAAATGGGGAAGTGATAAAAAGTGTCACCGAGCAAAAATTATTTTCACATTTTCATCTTTTTGAAAGATTTATTGACTTTTGTGCTTTTTAAAATTGATTTTAAAAAAATACATATACAAATGATCACAATAAAACTCCTTTTTAAAAGTTTTTCATTAGAGTGTGAGATTTATTTATTTATTTTATTTTATTTTTTATTTTTTGTTAATCATTGACTGTCCTGTTTGTTTTTATGGCTTATAGAAGACACTATAAAAAAGTGATTAAAAATAAAAAGCATTAGATGCAGCAAGTTGACATTACTTTAAGTGAGTAAACCCATTGCAACTTGGAGTTGTTAAAATGATAGAACTTATTTTTTTATTTTTGTACACAGTTTATTTGCTTACAATTTTTAAGGAAACGTTTTTAAAAGTAAAGTCAACTAATTGTTTTAAATGCTACTGGTTTAATTGCTTACTTTAAATAATGTCAGCTAACTTTTTAAAAGATTTTTTACAGCGTAAAATGGCATTAAGTGTAACAGTAGATTAATATATTTACAGTTAAAATCAGAATTATTAGCCCCCCTTAGACTTTTTTCTTTTTTATTATTATAATTTGTTATAAATATGTTTAATAGAGAGATCTCCACTTAAATATCATACTTATAATAATTATTATAAAGTTTAAAGCATTAGAATCGGTACTCGGTATCGACTGCAAAAATCCTGATCGGAACCTCTCTATATATATATATATATATATATATATATATATATATATATATATATATATATATATATACTTCAACAGTGTCTCTCAACAATTATCTCACGGCTAATTTGTATAAATTTATACAATCTCATTTGTACTATTATTATGATCACTTATCCCCCAATAACGGTTGGTTTTAGGGGTGGGGTTTGGGGCCATGCCTCCTTTTAAAAACATTTTCATACCACTGAACTCATGAAAATTGGTATACATTAGCTACTGAACTAACAAAACGTTAAAAAAAACAGTTTGATAGTAAAAAACAAAGGAACATTTATCGTTTTTCAAAATGTATTATCTGTTTGTTGGTTCATTGGTCGTTTTTTTGTTTGACGGTTTGCTGGTTGGTTAATTGGTTGGTTGGTTCTTTGTTGTCGTCATTCAATTATATTTTATTTTATTTTATTTTTTATTTTATTTTTTATTTATACATCTACTTATTTATGATTATTTTTATTTTTATTTATTTTCATTCATTAATATTTTAATCATTTTAAAAATATTTAATGAATTTATTTTAATTCAATAATAATTAATTTATGTTTTGAATGTAATTCATTTATTTTTATTTATACTTATGTACTTATATAGGAAATACTAATGTTTCCTTGTGACATCAAACTGGCTTATACACATGTGCATGAAACCATCAAGTGCAATCAGTCACTGGTTTGGGAACAGACACAAATATCATAACTGAGAGAATAGAAAGAATAAATAGTCTAGTGAAAATCATAGTAATCTGCCAGTGTGACAGGCACACACTCTTCAGATTCCTAAGATAAAAAAAGGGAATGAAACCAGAGGATATAGGCAGGGAAGAGCTGGTTGGAAGACCTTGAACGAAATGAGAAGGAAACAAACAGACATGAAAGAAATGACCATTATTGCGGGTCGTCTCGTCGAGTGTCTCAACAACTCCAGGCGAAACCATTACAGAACCGCCCAGCAGGAAATAACAAACACTTCCGTCTCCACACACTCCTCCTTCTGCCCACTGCCAGTCCAGATAAGATGCTTCCCTGGGCAGAGCTTTGTCCTGGAACAGCTTTCTGTTAAAAAAAAAAAAAAAAAAGGTTCATCAGGGCCTTTTCTCAAAATAGCTTTGTTGAAGTGATGGCTCAGAGAATAGAGGCGAGACAGAAGTCAGACTGCATTCAGGGCTTGTTGTGTGATTGTCAGTCATTAGCTCATAGTTTAAGATGCCGTCAGGAGCTGATTGGCATGTGATTTTGTGGGGTCTGATGAAAACTGCTGGATTGTTGGAGGAGTCATTTGTCATGTGGCGTCCCCGCTCTCAGTAGAAGGATGAAACACACCTTCTTTAATTCATCTTTTGATTGCAAACTGGAGAAAATAGACTATTTGTTGAGTTTTTGATTGTTTTCGTTTTTTGTGTAAGCGCAAGGTCCATTTTAATAGGACTGCTTTTACTTTACCCATTGGGTTATTATTTTAAAGAGTGATTTTTGGATGATATAATCATACTTAATGCCATTAGGTTAATAGAAATGCTGGATTGAGTGCTTAAATAAAATGAAAATGGATGCCATTTGGTGTGACGTTTGTAGATAAAAAAAAAAATCAAATGAAAAATTAGGAATGTTTTTATTTGTTTTTAATTAGTAAGTAAATATGTACCCTTTCATGCATTCAAGGTGTGGTAAAATGAAAAATTTAATTTTATTTATATTAAGAAATAATGTTAAAAAAATGGAAAATTTATTGTTTATTTGTTGGTTGGTTCATTGGTTAATTCGTTGGCTTGTTTGTTGGTTTGTTTGCTGGTTTGTTCGTTGGTTTGTTCATTGGTTTGTTCATTGGTTGGTTCGTTGGTTGGTTCGTTGGTTCATTCATTGATTGGTTGGTTTGTTTGTAAGTTGCTTTGTTCGTTGGTTGGTATGTTGGTTGGTTGGTTGGTTGGTTGGTTGGTTGGTTGGTTTGTTGGTTCGTTTGTTGGATAATTTGTTCCTTTGTCGATTTATTGGTTGGTTGGACAATTTATTGATTAGTTTGTTGGTTTATTTGTTGGTTGGTTCATTTGTTGATTGGTGAATTTATTGGTTGGTTGGTTTGTTTGTTGTCATTTATTCATTCATTCAAATTT